ATTAAATTCAAAATTACAAAATTTTAAATATTCCCTTTTTAGTTTAATTTCAGTAATAAAATTGTACTACGTACTACGTATTACAGTATATAAAATCCGTTTAAAAATCAAATCAGGAAAACATGACGGCTGAAGGAAAATTTGAAAATAAAAAGGAAACGGCATTTCTCATTTTCAATTCACAGCTCAATAAAATAATTTTCCACCGTCTCTCTTCTCGCTTTCGGCGACAGCTCACCTTTTCGTTTCCGCTTTGATCTTCCCCCAAATCGCACTGCCCACTGCGGCATATTTTTTAGTTGCCGTTTACTACTCCCAAAAATTTAAAACTACGCAGTAGATATACTGGATCAGAGATTGTACTGTGTAGATATATACGTATACAGATGGCCGGTGGGTATGTTAGATCAGACGATGATTACGATTACTTGTGCAAGGTAGTGCTGATAGGCGACTCCGGCGTGGGAAAGTCAAATCTGCTGTCCCGGTTTACTAGGAACGAGTTCAACCTCGAGTCAAAGTCCACCATTGGCGTCGAGTTCGCCACTCGCAGCATCCGTGTTGACGACAAGGTCGTCAAGGCTCAGATTTGGGACACCGCCGGCCAAGAAAGGTACTTCATTCCGTTCTCTTGCTTCTCCATTCACGCTCCATGTAACTTTAACTACAGGGTTGCTGGATAATTAAACAGCAGAAGCGATATGGTTTGATTGTGGGATACATGAATGTAGTGATTATAAATCTAGGGTTTTTATACAATAGCTATTTTTCTTTTCGGTTTTGGAAATATGTGCGGATAATTTTTTTTATGATGGTTCGATCTTGATGGGGATAACTGACGAGTTTGTTGGATTTAGAAGTGACTGCTTTGGTGGAATTGTTGAGTTCTGTTCTATCTATCTATTCCAGAAATCTCAATCTGTTTTTTTTTATGTTTTAGTTGATCATTTTACTGCTAGTTGTGCTGTGGTTTGTTAGCCTAAGTATAATTTTCCAAATATGCATGGTTGATGAGAAGAGTTGTGTAGAAACAAGTCATTATGAGGTTTCTTATTTAAAAGAACAACATTGTTAGAAGGATTCCGAGTCTTCATTTTGGAAGGTTTCTGAGAATTTTGAATAACCCAGTATATTTGGTGGTCAAGTTCATACAATTTATTTGCAACAATGTAATGTAGTTTACACCAAGTGGTAATCCATGTTTTTTGGCTTATTAGACTTCCTCATGAGGCAGTTTTGTTTTACGAAACTGGCTGAATTTACTAAAGAGGACAATTATGGCCGTTTTCATATGTATTGTTTCTTTATTTCATAATTCAGCAATCATTCAGCGAGTCAAGTAGATTTAACCAACTTGCGTGTTACCAAATGGGCTCCAATTTTTCCATGCAAAAATGTTTGACAGTGATCTACCAATTTAATAATTAAAGATTAGCTAAGTTGGTGTCAAGTGTGCCTGCAGTTTTTGGCTTTCGTGATTTACCAAGCAAGGTTTTTGCACGTTTAATCCTCTAGCTATTGATACAATGATGCTTTTTCAGTACCCAGTACCTATCTTTGTGAGTCCACTGCTAATCCTCTACTTATTGGGACTGAATCGTTTTTATACCATTTTTTATTATCCATTTTTACTGGTCTGTTATTGCGATAGTGACACTTTTGTTGCTCCCGTTTTTGTTGAAAAATTCAAAGATGAGCGGATTTCACTATAGGCAAATGACAAAGTGTAAAAAAAAAAAACTATGACGAGGAGAGTGCCAAAGGTGTCATTACCGCAATAGTCTCAAGACTACAACAACAACAACAACAACATTACCCCAGTGCCGCAAAGGCTCCCATGTACGGTGGGGTAAGGGGGGTCGGATGTATGCAGCCTTACCCAATGTAATAAAGCACAGGGTGATTGTTTTTAAATGACCCATGGTGAAAATCACATCAAAAATTGCATGCACTGAATGGTGCTTCATAACAAAGAAGCGCATATAGTTTAGTGAGTCATTTTTCTTTATTCCATCATATTACCAAGTCAAAAAATAGTGAGTTTTTGGCTCATTGGAAATGATGGAGAAATAGTCTTGAGACTAAATTTGGAAAAATTCTTTACCAATTAATTTATAAGAGATTTTTGTCTCTCGTGTTTTTAGAATCTGATTTAAGGTCTTTGAATTCATTTTATCATTTTTTTTTTGCAAGATGATGTTTCTTTCAATACTTTCTTCTCAACTTTAACCTTTTAACTACCCTAAAATTATGTTACTCTCTTTACTTGGACTATCTTTGATCACCTCTCTCCTCCAATTTTCGTCTATTTTACAATTGGACTTTAAATTGCACTTTGTTGCTTATAGAGATTAATGGCCATGTCCCATTTTGCATCTTCTTTGATTGTTTAACTGCAAAACTGCCACTTTTTTAGTGCTAGAATTAGTGTCATCATTATTATGACTAGATGCATGGAGATTGACCATATTCCATCTTTTTCTGTCTATTTTCGGTGAAACACGATAGATACCGTGCCATCACAAGTGCATACTATCGAGGGGCTGTAGGGGCTTTGCTTGTATATGATGTTACCCGTCACGTGACATTTGAAAATGTGGCTAGATGGTTAAAAGAGCTTAGAGACCACACTGACCAGAATATTGTCATAATGCTGGTGGGAAATAAGGCTGACCTACGTCACCTGCGAGCTGTTTCGACGGAGGATGCAAAGGCCTTTGCAGAAAGAGAAAAGACCTACTTTATGGAAACATCAGCTCTCGAGTCATTGAATGTCGAGAATGCCTTCACAGAAGTATTAACTCAGATATATCATGTGATTAGTCGGAAAGCACTTGAGGTTGGGGATGACCCGGCAGCCCCACCAAAGGGGCAATCGATAGACGTTGGCAAGAGTGACGTTTCTGCTCTAAAGAATGTCAATTGCTGCTCTGTTTGAGATTCCCACTTAAAATGTATTTTCCCTCAACATTCCCGTTTTCGTTTTTAATTTTATTCTGCTTGTCAAATGTAGTGTTTCAATTCATGGTGAATCTGCTGCCATAGTCTCAACCCTTTGCCGATGAATGATCTCATTTCATAGTCTCCACTTGAGCATTTCATGTGTGTATTGTTTCATCATTTGTATATCACTCCTTTCCAGCCTTTTAGCTGATTAAAGAAGTTATGACTTGAGGATAGCTTAAAGATTTTGTTGTACTTTGTGCTCAATAACAGATTCTTTGTTAATGTATATTAAATGTCATTACTTAAGTTAGGTGATATGTAAGTAGAGGTACATAACAATGATGTACGATGTACAACACCAACAATGTTGTATAGGTGTTGATCTAGGGTGGAGTGGTGGACGTGCGTGGGATGGTTCTGCAACCCCTTATCTTGGAACTGTGACCAGTGTTGGGTAATACCGGTTCTGGTACATTTCTAGTCTACCAAAACAGCTTCCATCTTTTTTGTATCTTACTCCGTGTTATCAAGTTTACTTTATAATGAGGTTTTCTTTCGAAAAAATTACTCAACTAAAACATATTTATAAAAATATGGTTGATATTTATTATAGTTCATTATCACGATCATTTAACTATTATGTCAATTCATTTTAGAGATCACATTTTTGTAAACAATGTTTTTTATTTTAATCATTATTATGTAATTATTATTCAATAACTTATGTTACTAATCCAAATATTATTTATTTATATTATTACTTTTATATAATAGTATCGACTATAGACTATTAAAATATTAAACATATGAAGAATAATATTGCAATTGTATAATATCGTGCTAGTACATCAGATTATAAAGACAAAATTCATAAGTATGATTCCTACTTTTAGGGATTTTACAATAATTCCTATTAACAGTGTTTATAAAAATAATCTAAATTAATAATAGTATACACAAGAATAAATTGAGGTAAATTCAAACTAATGGTCATTTAATACTCTCAACTCCCACTCCCACTTTTCTCTTCCCCGTTCTTCTTATTGAAGTGATTTCAAACCAAAACTCGTATACTTTCAAACGTCATTTCCGACATATGTGGTTCTCTCTAGGTTAGAAATAGAAGTAGTGCCCGAGAGCATTAATTTAAATTTTCCTCAATTTATTCTTGTGGACACTATTGTTAGTTCGAATTATTTTTATGAACACTTTCAGTAGAGATTATTATCGTAGAATCCCTACATATAGGGATTATTTTTGTGACAATTCCAATGTTACACAAAAAATTCCAATGTTACCAAGTAGGCTTGGAATCTGTATCTGCCCTCATGTTCATGTTTCTTTTCAATGTTCGTGTCTTAGGACACTTAGGGTGTATTTGGGAGTTAAGTTTTGGAGGGGAGGGGAAGGTTAATGAGGGTTTATAACCCTCCTTTTTATGTTTGGGAGTTTAAAAAATGAAGTGGATGGTTTTGGAGGGCTTTTGTAACCCTTCAAAACCCTCCAAATTCTTAATTTTTAAGTTCCCCCAATTTGGAGAGTTTTGGAGGATAATTAACAAGATGATAATTTAAGCTAAATTAAAAATGAATATCAGCTCAATGATTTGAATTCGTCATATTTCAAAGTGATTTTAATTATAATTCCTTCAAAAATCCTCTTCTTCCAATTTTATTACTCCCAAATACAAAGAAGGGCTTCCTCACCCTCCCCTCGCTTTCCCCTCCAACAACGTACCTCCAAAGTCTTTCCCTTCCCTTCCCTCCAAATTTCCAAACATACCCTTAGTACTGCAAAGAACTAGCTAATGACCATCACTATGCTTGAATCACAATTAGTAAAAACAAATGTAAACTTTCAGCATGTAATATTTAGTAATGGAGCTAGTACGAACTACAAAGAGGAAATTGGCATTAAAATTGCACTATGTCAATTGTCAAGGAGAGATTAGGGAGGTAAATTGTCAGTATTCTCCAGTCCTTTGTCTCAAGCTAACGAGGCTATTCTTAAAATCGCATTAAATAAAAAAGAAAAGATTAAAGGGAATGGAGGGAATATAAATTGGGAGTACTAAACCTACAGTACTACCCCTCCTTTCTGCACTATACAGTTAACAAGAAGGCAACTGGTCGGACAAATATGATGGGAAGTCCCTACTATGTTGATTAAATTTACACTGTTTCCATACAGCTATTAAAAACAAAAATCCAGTGGTATTACTGTTCCAGGTGAGACGCTAATATAGCCTGGTAAAATGGTAGTTTACAAAAAACAACTTTTGCCTGCTAGATGGCAAAAAGTATAATATACAAAGTGTTGATATAGTGTAATTTGAAGGAAAAAACAACTAAAAAAAGTTTCCTGGTAGGATGTAATAAATACATTAAATACAAAAGTTCCACCATTTGTTAACAGTATTTCATAGATCCTTAGGTTCCATTGGTAGTGCTGTTAATTTGCAGATGGGGCAACTATTCTTCACAATCAGCCACTTCTTTATGCAATGTACATGATATGCATGCCCACACTCGACCGTTCCAATATTCTCTTGGTCCTTGTAATCGTTCTGAAATGAGCGAACAGCGTGTTCAAGAACATAACATGAAAATAAAAAAAATGGTGCTAGGCAGTTGCTAACTTCCTAAGGCCTGTTCAACACTGGAATTAAACAATGCCTTATAAGACAATTATGAAGTTCCAATTCATGTCAAAATTGCTGGTATGAAATGCTCTCAGATATTTAAGTCCAGTCTAGCCTGAACTTGTGTGGTCTGATGATGTCTATTTATTATTATGTTATGATCGTTTAACCTGTTTGAATCTTGTATGTGACTCAAATAAGTCAACAAAGAAGAGGTCCTAATTAATTACTCCTCCGTTTCAATTTGTTTGACACACTTTCCTTTTTTGGATGTTTCAAAATGAATGCCACACTTCCTTATTTCCTTATTTGGTAAATAAATCTTTACCAAAAGAGTGCAAAACAGTGCCAAACAGTGTTCAAACAGTGCCAAACCGTGCTAAACCGTGTACTCTACAGTAAACTTTACCACTTTACCCCTCAGTAACATTTTTTCCTTAATTCTTGACAAGTCAAACTGTGTCAAACAAATGGAAACGGAGGGAGTAAGATTGACTCCTAAAGGTGCCTTACATTTTAAGGACACAAGGAGGAAGTACCTGGCATATGACACATAAATCCATATTTTTATCCAAGCATTCTGTAGCCTTAGACATAGATAAAGCTTTTGATGAGCTGAATGGTTTTGTTTTCAAGTGCCTCGTAATCATTTCTTCTGACAACCCAGTCGTTACACTGCCAATGTGCTCACCCAATGCAAGAAGCTCCTGGAAGATAATCAATCCACCATGTTGCTTTCCATAATCATTAATCCACAAGTAATAACTGCAAACCGGTATACTAATGCATACAAAGTTAGAAACTCGATGCTTTTTCTTTACCTCGTAGGACATGTGATCTATATCCATGCGCATATCTCTGTGCTGATCACCAGACTCCCCCATGTCATTATAGTAGCCAGGAATTTCTAGCATTGACACTCCCTACAAAGAACCACTCAGGATGATCATTCTCATATTTGTGCTTCATCAAGTAAGACAAACAGGTATGTGTCAAAAATATAATATATGAAACACTCATGGCAAATATATTGATGGGACACATTACATCTTCAGGCATAACCCTCATGTTAGGTAGGTTGTGATTTGGCATGTAATTTGAATAGTTTCTACGGGAAGATCTGTACAGTCTAACACCAGCTGGTTGTAAGGGTCCCACATAGGTAGGTCTCGTCTCTACAAAACCAGATAAATAATTCAAGTTGCTGCTTGATGGTGCATTTGTAATGTGCCTGCTTGATGATACTGCCATTAATGGAGGGAAATTAGTATTATGGCATCTCATTCCTTGCGTGGCTTGCGGTAGGTGATGAACATTTGAGTGCCCTTCTAGAGGAATGGGAGGATGCATAAAGTTGGTCAAACTCCCATTGCCCCCTCTTACTTGGTAACTTTGTATTCCCGTGTTCCCAGCCTCAATGGTAGGACCAACTGCGCGTCCTGTAATATACAAAAGGAAAAGAACTGATGAAGAAATTGCTGTACATTGGCTGAAAGTTATGTAACTCTTACCAAATTGATCTTTTAGAATATAACTCCATCCTCTATTATAGTATAAGACCCAACTTTGATTGATAACCATAATTGGGCTATGAAAAATGAACAGTCCCGTCAACTTCGATTAGGCAGTCAGGGTACATGCCCTGATTCCCTTATGAAAAAAAATGTTCAGATAATGAGTCGAACCGTGAGAGTGTGTGGACTGTGGCGTATGAAACAAAAAAAAATGCATGATCTACATGAGGTCTCTCGTCGGGAATGGGTGTTACATAGTCTGTCCACATCGGCAAAATATGAAATAACATAATGAAGATCTTGAAGTCTTGAACTACTCTCCACCTATCAAATAAATAGATAAAGTGCATGATATAAAAGATCAAACGTTCAAAACTATAAACATCGACGAGCAATAGAAATTACCATGCACGTAAGGAAAAGGAACAGCAGCTTGATTCCATGACCAAGGTTCAAGCTCACAACTATTTCTGTTGAATCGCATGTCTGACCAAGGATTATTACTCAGCTGAATAGAACCCACATGGTTTCCTTGAGCAAAATGATTGCTGCGTTGGGCTGCTACAGAATCTGGACCATTTACAAAAGCCATGTTCCTCAAACTTATGTGGGACCCATCATTGACAACCAATGAAGAATCACGATGATCAGCAGGTAGCATAAGCGGCGAAGAATCCATCAAAGAAGCATTGGATTCATGTGCCCTTGCAATTAGTGGGACATCAGAAGAACTAGAACCCACAACATTCTTTATCTTGAACGCGCCTATGGTTCCATGAGTAGCAGTCTGAATTCCAGCCATGCCAGGATTGTTTGAAAATGAACTGTGGTCATGTGTTCTGTGATTGAAAGGGATTGAGAAGTCTCTGGTTGCAGCAGTTGGAGGCATGTAAGGATTATGATGAATAGAAGATGAAGCAAGGGCAAGGTCAAGATTTGGAATGGGCTGCGGATGAACTGATCTATTGTGCTGTGTCATACCATAAAACAAAGGGCTGTTGTCATTATAGTCTGGCAGAGGGTGCAGATAGACATTACTCGCAACTGGTAATACTGAATGGACATTTGGTTGAGGAAAAGATGTTAAGGTCCCATAAGATTGGATTTGTCTACCTTGATCAGCTTCCAAATCGACCACAAGACTACTATATGGTGTATTCCTTTGTCCCATGTTGATAAATAATTTTTTTTAGATGATGCCCTCCTGCATATATGAAAGATTCAATTACAAGAAGAAAGTCAACCCACTATTTTGAAATTCATATTAGGGGAAGTTGGAGTTTGTATCCACTCATCAAAATTTGAGTTTACACCTAATTTTAAAATCATTAATATTTACAACCCACAATTAGAAAGAATTGTTAAACAAATTTTTAATGGGGTGCCAGGTTGGAATTTTTGTTGGGTGCATACTACAAATTGGAACCATCTTCAGGGATGCAATCTCAGCAGATGTTAACGTCTACTAACAGCTTTGGCTAACAGAGGTGTTGAAATATTAATGATCTAATAAATCAGTCACAAACTCAAATTTGGATGAAAAAGTGGGGGTGCAAAATCCAATTCCCCTTCATATTTCTTTCATCAGCAAACAAGAGTACAAGACTACGCTGACCACAATTATATGATGGGAAATGGATATAGAAGCCCCAAACACAAATGTAGCAATATAAGAAAAGTAAAACCCAGAGTGTGATCAGGAACAAAGTCACAAACCATGAGGAACAAAGACATAAACCATGAGGAACAAAGTCAAAAACCATGAGAAAAAATACTATGTTTGGTTCTCTCTTTAACCATCCTCACATTTAGGAAGCTATAACAATCACATCTCAACATACAGCCACCAATTGGGATATGAAAGCAAACTTATGCTATCCTAATATCTCAAAGTAATAGTTTTGACATGGAGATACTTGCTTGTTTAAGAATATTATCCTCACATAAGATTGCAAGGCAGTAAAATGAAAGGGAAGCTGCTAAATTTTATTGAGATGGGTATACCACTATATCCTCAATATTCTTAGACACAACTTTGAAGAAGTATAAATTTTGAATTACTTTAATTAACATCTTGTCTGAACACTATTTATATCTCATTTCAGAAACGTCGGATTTTTAGTGAATTTATGAATAAACTAATCACCCACAAAAAGACATTTTAAGGCAAATGCTAATAACTCTTAGGGCTTATATGGGTTGGGGATTTTGGAGGGAAGGGTTGATATTCATTTTCTAACTGATACTTATATTTAGATGGTAGGAATGATGGTTGGAAAGAAAATAAAGATGAAACTTTATATATAGGCCGTTTGGTAACAGTGTTTTTTGCCTTATCAGGATTCTCAGCCAACTTTTTCACCAAACACGTAAGTTTAGTAGTTTAGTTTTCACGCGTTGAATTGTGTAATAATAAGAAAAAGTAAGGTTGAAGTTACTTTTCTGGCTGTATTGGCTGAAGTTACTGTAGATGACCATTTTAGCTATTTTTACATATAATTTTTTCTTTATTTTATTAATAAAATATATTTTAAAAATAATTTTTCTTAAATCAGCAAAATCAGCCAATGCAGCCACTTCGGCCGGAACGTCATAAATTTCAGCAAAATCAGCCATATCAGTCGATTTTCATGTTACCAAACGGGCTCATAGAATATTACAAATGCATTATGCAAATAAACATGTACTTATAGCTATTTGTAGCCGAAGACGAAAAACTAGAGATTGATTAATGGGCACCCGGTGCACATTGACGTCCCTACCGGGCGAGGGTCTGGGGAAGGATCCCACCACAAGGAGCAAGCCTTCCTTGTCATTACGACAAGAGGCTGCTCCCTAGACTTGAACCCATGACCTCTCGGACCGAGAGACACTGTAACCATGGAGCCAAGGCTCCCCTTCGAAAAATAGAGATCATTTTCATTTCATCATTTTCATTTACCCCAGTGCCGCAAAGGCTCCCACCTACGGTGGGGTAAGGGGGTCGGATGTACGCAGTCTTACCCATGTACTAAAGCACAGAGAGACTGTTTCCGGATGACCCAAAGTGAAAATCGCGTCCAAGATTGCATGGACTGACCGCTGCTCCATAACAAAGAAGTGCAGACAGTTTAGTGAGCCATTTTGCTTTATTCCATCATAATCTCAAGCCAAAAAATAATGAATCTTTGGCTCCATTGCAAATGATAGAAAAGAAAAATAGAGATCTATTAATAAAATAAAATCAGTCCTCCCTTTCCATACTTAACCCCTAAACCAAACAAGCCCTTGGATAACAAATTCATTGTGTATGTCAAAAAAATACACTCCTATGATCTTGAATTAAAAATTTACTTTTATTTCCTTAACCATTGCCTTTAGGTTTAGCATGAACTTTTATATAGTTATATTCAGAATCCACATGCAACTGACATAGACACAAGAAAATTTTGAAATTAGGGACAGGAAAAGGAAATTCTACGATTGGGTTGGGAGAACCAGCCTCGATACCATCAACAAACTGATTGATCTCCAGAGTATCACCGTTATATTTCCCAGCCTGAAACTGAAATAAATTATTCGCAACCCCTACATAAATCCCAACAAAAAGAAGAAAACAGAAAAGTCCCTGATTTTAGCAGAAAACAGTGATCAATGATCATCAAGAATTCAATCTAACCAAAACCCAGACAATATAATTCATCGGCAAAACCTAATGCATGCAAATTAACAGGGATAAACATACACCTATACAAAGACAAGTACATGTCACGAAGATAAATGCAAAATTCAGGAAATAACTTCGAAACTTGGAATCTTGCCTAATCCTTATCGATCATTTTGAAATGAAGAAAAACTAACCCAATTAAGGTTGACCGAAAAAGAGGGCCCAGAAAGGAAAGCGGTAAGAAAAATCTCTGAAAATAATAGAGAGAGAAAGGGATTAGAGAATGGAGAGAGCAGGGAATGGTTAAACGCAAAATAACCTGTAAATTGAGTTTAATTTTAGGAAAAGCTCTCTCTCTCTAATATGACTCCGTACTTCCGTATTTAGCATTTTTGGTTGTCTTAATATTTTACGGAGCATTAACCACGTAATATTATCCTCAACACCTACGTGGCACACAGCCACCAGCGTTATTAATGGCCATTCAGTTCTTATGGGATGGTGAGCATGCTTAACTCCCAAAATGACGTAATTTCGCACACTTTTAAAAAAAATCGCATGAACAGTACACGCATAAACAGTACACGCGTGTAAAGTAACTGTTTATTTCTTTTTGTCCTGATAGCATGAATGATGTAACTCGCGTGTAAAGAAATGCAACTTACGCCGATAAAAGATGCAACTGTCTAATACGAATTACTGCCTCCGTTCTTAAATAAATGCAACACTTTGACTTTTACACTATTCACATGTTCTACTTTGACTACGTTTTATTTATTAATGTAATAATATTATTTTATGAAAAAAATATTGTTAAACTTGTCTCATTGTAAATTTTCATAATCTAATTTTTTTAATTTTTTTTACTAATACAAAATCATTTATATTAATGGTCAAAGTTGTGTCTCGGCAAGTGAGAAATGTTGACCGTTGCATTTATTTAAGAACGGAGGAAGTATAAGAAATACTCCGTAATAGTAAAACATTGATTTCAATGAAAATAAGGAATCTAATTGTTCAATTACTTTACGTAAGTAGTGAATATGTTTTATTTTTAATATTCAGACCATAAATAATGTTTTTTCTTAAAATCAAATATTTTGCCAAAAAATTATTTTTTCCGCAAAAAAAAATCATTTTTATGCAAAAAAGTGATTTTTTGTTTCAATAGCAGGGGATTACTTAAATAGTGAATATGTTCTGTTTTTTATATCAAGGCCATAAAAATATTTTTTTTAAAATCACTTTTTTGCCTAAGAAATCATTTTTTAATTTTTTTTTTGCAAAACTGATTCTTTTGTTTGAATAGCAGAGCTTTATGATGTGATGTAACTCATGTTATAGAAATGGAACTCGTGTTGATGGAAAATCAAACCTAGGTGTATGCAAAATGTAACGTGTTAAGGCAAATCTAAATGTAACTCGCGTATAAGAAAATGTAACTCACGCATAAAAAGATGTAACTTGCGCATAAAAACATGTAAATCCATAGACTATCAAATGTAAAGAATGAAAACAAGGAGTCTAATTACTCAAATTAATATACGTAAATAGTTAATATGTTTTGTTTTTAGTATTAAGGCCATAAAAATGTTTCAAAGAAAAATATTTTTTTGCCCAAAAAGTCATTTTTTTTGCCAAAAAAAATCATTTTTGTTTGCATTTTTTTTGTTTCAATAGTTGGGGTATATTTTGTGATGTAATACGTGTTATGAAAAAGTGTAACTCGCGTTGATGGAAGATCTAACTTAGATGTATGCAAAATGTAACTTGTTGAGGCAAATCCAAATGTAACTCGTGCATAGGAGAATGTAACTCACGTACAAGAAGATGAATCATGTGCATGACACATCCGGGTTTTTTTGTAATTGGTAACAACTTTGAGGCAGAGTCGATTTTTAGCGCGTTCAACATGTTCTACAGAACAGAACCTCCCGTTTCTGGAACCCTAATTTTTAAAAAAATATTAGTATTACATAGTTTTTTATATTAGTATTCCATAGTAATAATATATATTAACACTAATCAATAAAATAAAGTTTTTTTCAATCCTTTTACTCTCGTTTTACTCAAATTGATTGAGTGATGAGTTGTGTTACTTTAGATCAAGTATTAAGTGATTTTTAGAATTTTTTATTACATAAATTTTTATATTAATATGGGCTTCAATTTTACGTTTGGAACGGGGCCTCCAAATTCATTACAGAACTCTGCTTTGAGGATAATAATAGGCAGATTTTTTATTTGTTTATTCTCCTTTCTTTTTTTTTTCTTTTTAATTTTTTGTTCTCCTTTTTTTAGCAACTTTCTACTTTTATTAAACTTTTATATTATACTTTTAAAATGCATAATATAAAATATTATTAAATGTTCCATTTTATTTTTTTTCCTCTCTCTAATCAAACTTCCAACTTAATTTTTTATTTATTTATATATTATAAAATATTTTAGGTATTAATGTTTTATTTTTCTGTTTTTTATTTAAAATTAATATTTATTAGTTTATTAAATATTGTGTGTTAATTACTAACGTGAGTTTTGTGTTATACTAAAATGAGTATATTGTAAAATAAATATGCATGAGTAAAACATTATAGAAAATTTAGTAATAAATCATTTTATGTATTTTTCATTTGGTATAAATTATGGGTAATTCTAGGAAAATCTTAATACTCCGTATTAGCCGTCTCTTTGAGTCCTTTCCTAACTTATTCCAAATCGTCAATGGAAAAATCAAACATCTTGTTCCTTTGTTTATTTAGCATTATGAAATGTAAATCATGCTTTTTAATGTTTATAAATTGTGTCTGGTCTAAACTGGTTTTGTTTTGTCTGATAAATGCATGCTCTATGTATATTTTACAACTTCCAGACTCTGATATGGCTAGTTTAAATCTAATATAGTTTGATCTGATTTGAAATTGAAATCAGTCTAATTAAAAACATCCTTAGTTATGTAATTTGTATTTACTTAATCGGGTGGGGCGGGGACGGAGTGGGTCTGAGAGTAATGGGGGATGAGGTGGGGATGGGGGAAGCTTTTTAGACATGGGGCGGGGATAGGGGAGTGAACCCCCGCCCCAAACCCGCCCCGTTGACATCCCTAAGATCCCTTTAAAAACTTTTTTTACTCTTAGTCTTTATCATTGTGTGATAATCAAAATAATTGGTGTCAAAGTTATTTTTTCGATTGATTTGACCGAATTTGGTGAAAAAAACTTTTCTAGTTGTTCTTCCATATAGAGTTTAATTATTAATCAATTAAGGAAATATAACTTTATTGAGAAACGACTCAAAGAAGAATACAAGTAGTTCTTTAATGGATGGAGGGTCGGAAAGAGTAATGTACATATCTATAAATAGAATATATGTGCAAGTTTACTTACTAAATTTGTTTTTTTTTTTTTGCTTTTATTGATTTACATGAGGCCAAGTATCTTATAGTTTGATGAGCTGATATCAATATAATTATTATAATAAGGGGGGCGGGTGGTGGGTGCATAACCCATCACCCGCTCCATTTTTAGCGGGACATATAATTCTCCCATCCCACACTCGTCCCACTTAAACTCCACCCCACTTGTCCTCCATGGGTGCCCCCCACAAGCATCCACCCCCATTGCCATCCTTACAACAACAACAACAACAACAACAATAATAATAATGGTAGCAATAATAATAACTATAATAATAACAACAATAATAACTAAAATAATAACAATAATAACAATAACAATAACAATAACTGTTAGGAAAATGGCCCAAATAGGACCGGCCCATTAATCCCTAAGGCCCACCGGACAACCGTCCCCAAAGTCCAACAATCTGGGGACAAGTACTCTTAGAGTGACGACGTCCGGCTCTTGCACCAAAATGGCAGTAAGCGGTGACGACGTACAACCTATTCTCATGGGGTATCTAAGCAGGCAAACAACGCATCAGGAGATGTACGTCAGGAGACACTGGCTCAACAACTTGGAAAGCACCACGCCACACCAGGCCTGGGGATGACCGTCGCCACCCATTGGCGGGAAACCATGCCAAGGAAGCAACCATCACGTCAGGAGCGTCGGCTAAGGGCAGTACGAACGTCGCGAAGGATGGGGGCGACTGAAGATGCTTCCCCAACAGGCCAGCAAGGCCCAATTGCAAGACGTACGTACGGAACATTGGCCTTGGGAGCACGCATGACATGGGAGATAAGATCGTGAGGACGCTCGTCCCCACCACTTGGCGGGAAATCAAGATCCTAGCGGGAAGCGCATTTAATGCTGGGATATGGGCATCTCAAGTGGAGACATGGACAAAGCAAGTAGAGGGATGGAGGTAGCAATGACAGGGAAGCAGCCATTCCGTAATGGGGATTTTGTTTACTCATTAGCTCTCTAGTCATTCTAGCTTTTGTATTAGCTTTGGACCGGAATTGCCGTTCCGCCTTTCTCTTGTAATTGTTATTACGGTATTAATACAAGCGGAGCTATTTAAGTTCATCAATTACTTTTTATATTTCTCTTACACACTTTACTCTAGCACGTAAACCCTAGATCCAATGTTGGTGTTGGACCTTCGGGTCATTCGAGACTTAACCTCAACAATAACAATAACAACAACAACAACAATAACAATAATAATAGTGAAGATAGTGACCGTCCATCTTTGAACTCTCTCTTGAAAAAATTTCTAGACTCTAATCTTTTTTGTGACTTTGTCCGTAATGTTTAAAGCATTATGGACAAAGTTATTAATTAGCTTTGCTTTTCAACGTGTTAGAGCAGTGACATTAAAGCATAACAAGCTCAGTGGTTGGGAAAAAATCTATGGTTTTGTTTACAAGTAACTATATATTAGTTGAGTTTCAAATTTATTTACTCCAACAAATATAATATTATTTAATTTTATTTGGATGAATAATTCCCCGATGGCTACATGTGGGTTTAGCGGGTCGGGCGGCGATGGGGCGTGGTTGGGAAGGTGATAAGCACGATAGTTACATGTATTCTATATAGGTAATTATGATTATTGATGGAGTATATGGGTCTAGGCCCCAGGACCCACATACTCGGAACAGAAAGCACAGCTGCCACGTGGTGCCCTCGTCGGCCAAAGACCCTCGTCGGCCAGAAGAGGGACCAACTCAGAATATGATCCTGAAGCCAAGGAACCAGGGTGTCCTCGTCGGCCGTGCCCTCATCGGCTGTTCCCTCGTCGGCCAAGACCCTCGTCAGCCACTGAGGTCTCACAGAACCGGATTTTACACTTATTCATTTGTATAGCCCACCAGTGGCTTTGTATTCGGCCCAATAGCGGTCCAGTTGTAAATGGGTCTCCCAAGCCCAAGGCTTGGGAGCCCAGCCCGTATTTTCCCTATAAATACTTCCTCTGGAGGTAG